AACTGCTCTGTCTATGAGTAACTGGTGTTTTGAACCTCTGGTGTTGTTCCCAATGCCCTTTTGAGCTATGCTCCTGTACTGACCCATATGGTCCTGTAGCTTGGCGGCTGTGATACCTGACAGAGCTTTCCACGTTGTGGAGAGGCAGGATATTGGCCGATAGTTGGACAGTACTGTTCCTTTGTGTGGTCTTTCGTGATCAACATTGTCCTTCTTTGTTTTAGCCAGTCTGGGTGAGAGCCTGCTGCTAGCAGCTGGTTCATCTGTGCTGCTAGGCGTTCATGCACTGCTGTTAGTTTCTTCAGCCAGTGAGTGTGGATCATGTCTGGGGCAGATGCTGTCCAGTTCTTCATGTTCTTGACCTGCTGTTGGATGTCTGCTACTGTGATGGTGACCGGTTCCTGTTCTGGAAGATTGCTGTGATCTGCTCTCAGTTCTTGCAGCCACTTTGCACTGGTGTTATGCGTCTTCTCTTTCTCCCATATGTTCTTCCAGTACTGTTCAGTTTCGCCACTTTGCACTGGTGTTATGCGTCTTCTCTTTCTCCCATATGTTCTTCCAGTACTGTTCAGTTTCGCCACTTTGCACTGGTGTTATGCGTCTTCTCTTTCTCCCATATGTTCTTCCAGTACTGTTCAGTTTCTGCTGTTGGTGGCTCTGCTGTTAATGTATAGTTGTACTGCAGTTGAGAGTACACCTTGGATGATTCTTTGGAGAACAGGTCATTTATCGTCTTGGCTTCTCTAATGTATCTCCTTAGCCTGGTAGCCAGTGCTGTGAGCCTTTGTTTAGCAGTCTTTAGGGCTTCAGATGGAATCAGGCCCTTGCATTTTTTCAGTAGCCAAGTCTTGCCCTTAATCTCCACACCCTTCTGTAGTTCAACCAGCTGACTAACTTCTCTCCGAGTTGCCTTGATCTTAGCCTCCAACCTCATTTTCCAGGGGTGATATGTACTGCTGTTCTTCTTGATTGTGTAGCCAAGCACCTACAAAAAAAAAAAAACAAAAAAACCCACAAGAAAATCCCTACTACCACCATAACTCAAAAAAAATGAACTGGTAGTTCAACCAGCTGACTAACTTCTCTCCGAGTTGCCTTGATCTTAGCCTCCAACCTCATTTTCCAGGGGTGATATGTACTGCTGTTCTTCTTGATTGTGTAGCCAAGCACCTCCAGAATTACAGTGGCTGTAGCATATACCAGTTCATTTTTTTTGAGTTATGGTGGTAGTAGGGATTGTCGTGAGGGCTCTGTTGGCATCTTCTAGCATGCTATCTGATGGTACCTCTCCAATGAGCCTTGGTAATCAGTCTCAAGAGTTGACTGTAGCTAGTTTATCCATGATCTTATGCCTCATATTAGCTGCTATGCTCTGTAATAGAAGGGGTGGCAGTGACATTCCAGTTTCAGGTGTTGGCTGCACATCCAGTTGTTCTTCCGGGTCTTCTTGAGACGTAATGTGTAGTTGGTCTAAAGTTATGAGAGCAGCTTCCTCTTTGCTATGTTGAGCATTGGGTAACTAACTGTTTCTCAGTTAGTATGGATGGACATCTTCTGTCCATCCATATTTCCCTCATACATTTCATTAGGTCTACTGTTATAGTAGCATTCCATCAATTCCAGGCTCTCTTGTCTCCATGTATGGTTTGTATGTGTATGTATGTGTGTGTACACACACACACACTCACAAACACACAGATCAAGAATGATGTTAAGTATTTATATTTGCATTCAAAATTCTTCAGGGCTTTGTAATTTGAAAAGAAAAGTACTTGAATAAGTATCTTCATTTTCAATTTTAACATGTTTTTCACTTCTAACTTTTTTTGTGATGAAATGATTACAACCATAACATCACTGTTATTTCCTTAAGCACTAGCATTCTAGAGAGTGTACAGTTTCATTTTAATTTAGCTAAAAGAGATAAAAGTAATGCTTTTAACTGAACTGTATAATTCAGTGGCTTTGAGGTCGGTATGTCAGAAGTCCAAAGTCAACTGATTTTAGAAAATGTCTCAGAACCCCATAATAACAAGAAATCAGAAATAAACTACCTTGTGAGACTGTCACTCAGAAAGACTGATTTAAATCTTATGTTGAGGAAACAGGATATATATATATATCAGGTTTCACTATCCTTATACTTAGTCACCTCCCTTACAATGCAATATATATCCTCAGGTAAGTGGAGTATAGAAGTCCAGACTTTGTGAATTATCCTATGCGTTACAACTTTGCTTAATATAAAATACTAATGTACTTTTTCCTATTTTTCTATTTGAAAACACAAACCAGTCACTTTTCAAAGAGGAGATGGAGGACTTATGAGCAACGGAAGGTATACTTGTAATTTACAGATCTTACTCGTTTTAGGATTTGTCATCGTTTAGCCCATCTTTAATTTTTGTTTAGGAGCTAGAGACAGAGAGAGATGATCAGATGTAAAAGTAACAATTCTAGGAGGAATTAAATGGATTAAACTAGCTTTTAATGATCTGTTGTACACTTAAGGAAATCAAGCCCAGATGTTTGATATCTCCCAGATGCCCAAGAAGAAATTAGTAGAAAGTATCAGAAGGAATGTATTCATTTGTTTTCAGGATAGTTATTGCATTAATTAGGCATTAGTAAATGAAGTTGCTGTTGTTTAAGAGTCCTTATTGGCTCCCATTAAATTGCAGTGAATGAACAATTACACACAATCGTTCACAAAATAAATGATTCACAGAAGATGAATAAGTAGATTGATAGGACTAGATTCTACAACTTTGGTCACTCAATTGAAATTGATAAAAGTTGATAACAGACCCATATATCCTCATATATTTTCTCTGTGCCAATATGGAGACTGTAATTAGGGTCTGGTAATAACTTCCCATCTCCCATTGAATCAATATTTTAGCAAAAAAGGGATTAAGTCTAATGAGAGTACATAGATGAGGCAAGAAAGCTGCTTGATCTTCTTATTGCCGTTTCTATAGAAACCCATGCTTCTCTCTGAAATTATACAGAAGGGATTATGGGGGTGCAAGAAAAAATATAGTGGTCATAAATGTAAAGTACAAACATCTGATGAAAAATCTGTCTAATACAAAATTCTAATTTCCACTGTTACTTTTTGTTTTTAAAAAGGTGTTGATAAGTATACTCTTAGATTTATTTGCTTCATGTTTGCTTTTCATCTTTATTTATCTTACCAAATTTTAGGAACAAGCTTGCTGAAACATATTATTTAAATTAAACTTAATGTATAAATCATCAGTTCGTTTCAGTCAAAATATATTCTGTCTTCAGTAGTTTACAAAAACTGAAAACAAATCATATGGAAGTCTGCTGTCATAGATAGAACTGCTATTTTGAATTTTCCATTAATCCCATTCAAACTTGCTTGCTTTTAAATTCATGCAAGAGTGCTCAGAGGAAAATCTAGCATCTTGTGGATGACAGACATATATTTGGAATGCAGTAAGTGAAGGAATAGTTACCCAGAGTCCTGGAAATGGTTGATATAGAACAGTCACTTTGAGTGATTATTCCCTTGAGGTAGCAATTTATCATTTCTTCCTGCTTTAGGATCTTTCAGTAGTGCAGCCTATTCCTTCTTTTCAGCACAGACAATAGAAATCATTGGGATTACAGCAAACTGTGCTTGGGCATGCCAGAGTTTCTACAGGCAGTGTGTCTGGTTTATACAGAATCCCAGTTAACTGCTGAAGATTTTTAAATGCAGAAAGATTTCAGTTTTAATATAAAATAATTTTACAAATTTCACAGAATTGTTATGACTGTTTATGGAGCCTAATGGAATGTCTTTATTACAGTTGCATAGATTTGTCACATAAATATTTTATTGTTGGCTTTGCTTAGTCGTCCAGGCCTGTTAAATGCAAGTGACCCAAGTTATCCTTGGCTTGCGGATTCTTGGCCCGCCACCAGCCTGCCAGTTAACAACAGTACCAATGGACCAAGTGATCTTGGGAATTTCAGTCGTGGAGGTACGTTTTCCATTTTCTTAACATGTATAATGTTTATTGCCAGGACACATTTTTTTTTATCCAACATATTTAAAAAAATAATAATAATGATGGGAATATAAGCAATGAAAATAAAAAGTACCAAGTAATAATATAATATATTGTTACACTGTATATTTATACAGAACCTTTCTATGTCTTCAAGAGGTTTATAAAATAAAATATTTATATATTTAGTCATTTTTTATAGCTAAACTCAACAGGGCATACAATTAAAACAGCATAATACTATAAAAATAAGGTATAATACGATATAAAACAGTTACATCAAACACAATTCAGCAATCAAAAACATACCACCTGGTTAAAAAACCTGGCCTAGGGGAAACAGAACAAAACAAAACAGGTCATCATGCTTTACAAAGAGCAGGCAGATTCAGACCGTCCAGATCATGGAGAAATGCTGTTCCATAGGGCAGGGATAGAGAAGACATTTTATTTCCTTGGTCCCAACAGGGGATATTGTTGAAGTGACAGAATCTAGAGCACGCCTCCCTGTCAGATCTTATTAGATTGGCAAAGATAATCAGAGACAGGTCATCCCAGAAATAATAGATCCTGTGCCATGGAGTGTTTTAAAAGCGATAGCTAGTCTCTAGAATTCCATCTAGAAACCCACTGCCAACAAGTGCAGCTTGCAAAGTAGTGAATTGTCTTCAAGGACAATTCTACAGCCCCTTGTAAAGCACATTGCAGTAATTCCAATGAGCCACTGGGAGTCACACAGTGTACAAATTTAATAAATAAACAAACAAACAAGAGCTGACCATGAGTAAGGCGGTCCAAGCCATGGCTCTTCAGGCAGGAGCTATAAGTCTAGAAGGACCCTGAACTCACACAACAGCTTTGTTTGGAGTAATACAGTCCCATTCAGAAATCCTGAAGATCCTCAGCTACTCAGTCTTGCTAAGGTTGAGCCTGAGTCCCATCTGTTTCTTCCTAATAAATAATAGAAAACTGTAGTTCTAACCATGTGAATCAGACCTCCCCCAATAATCCCCCAATAATCCCATTTGACCAGATATATAACAACAGACATCAGACATCTTAGTTCCAATCCTATCAGTTCCAGTTAGATTATGGTTTTACATATCATAAGCAAAAGCTTAAATAGAGATCAGTAGTTAATTGAAAGCACAATCACTTTCAGTGGGTACAAAGCTGACAATGGGTTGTCCTACTCAGCAGCCTGGCTGCAACATTCTACTTCAGCTTTTCAGTGCAAGAATCCAAATTAAAGTGCAGTATAAGGTAACTGACTCCACTGTTAAAGTGCTCCTAATTTTAGAAATTTCTTTCTAATGTTCAGTTCTGCCTTTCTAAAACTTAAGTCCATTATTCCATGTTCTGCAGTCTGGGACAAGTGAGAATAGCCCTTCACTTTCTGTGTAACATCCATTCTGGTGCCTGAAAAGTGCAAATCTATCCTACTTCATTCTTCTCAAGGTTAAACATTCCCTATTCCTTCAATCACGTTTTGTAGTTCCCTGATCATTCTTTTCTTTGAATCTATTCCAATTCATCTATTTGTCTTAAGTGGCACTTAGAACTGGAAACTGTGCTCAAGGTGGGCCTTCCCTAGCAGAATATAGTGTTAGCTTTTAAACAACATTGAGTCTATGTAGAGTCTGTGATATAAAAATGCTATACATATTATTTAATTTAATTTGGAAACTTGATTTCTCTTTATTTCTATATTTGCCCTTTTGCTCATATTCAGTTTGTAATTAACTATTGTTCTTCTATTATATTATTTTTGCCAAACCACATATGCCTCATGATATACCAGGCATTTCATTTATTTTCCCAAGCGTATAACTTGCACAAAGTTCTGTTAACTACTCTTTTCACTTTTCCATGAGAGAATTTAGTCTACGCCATTTACTGAAATAACATGAGAAATAAATTAAAAAAAAAAATAGTACTGTAATGACCTTTTGCCATCTATCTATCTATCTATCTATCTATCTGTCTGTCTGTCTGTCTGTCTGTCTATCTCTCTCTCTCTCTCTCTCTCTCTCTCTCTCTCTCTTTTCAGTTTTGCCAACCATACCAGTAGGAGTAGAATTGAAAATGGCATT